GCCACACCGACCCTAGGCCTGCCATGCTCACCCTCAGCCTCAGCCCACGCTGCCTCGCTCAGACCGGCCCTGCAGCTGCCAGGCCCAGCGCTGCCCCTCCGAAGGGGAGCTGCCATAGATTCAGCCTCACCTCTCCACAGCAGAGCCTCCTGCCTAGCCAAGGCCCCAGCTGCCTTGCCTGGGGCGAGGGGAAGTGCTGGCCCTGCTCCGCAGACTCCCAGGCCAACCCCCCCCAGCAGGGGCTTGAAGGCCTGCTCCCACCCAGACTCTGCCAGGGAGGGTGGTAGTTGACCAGCGCTGCCAGGGCCTGGTCCTACATGCTGGCCCTGCTCCCCACACTCCCAGGCCAACCCCCCCCAGCAGGGGCTTGAAGGCCTGCTCCCACCCAGACTCTGCCAGGGAGGGTGGTAGTTGACCAGCGCTGCCAGGGCCTGGTCCTACAGTCCACTGGAGCCTTCCTCCCACTTCAGCTCCCACTGCTCCTGCAGCCCAGCTGGAGTCTTGGGGGCCCAGGGGCCACCCCCAGCAGCACCAAAGCCTGAGGCAAGGAAACTCATTTCAATCTGGGCCAAGAAAGGCTCCGGGGGGCCCGCAGCCTCCTAAGGCCAGGCCCAAAGCAACCAGCTCTCAGGTGCCTCCTCCAGCTGCCTGGCCCCCGCTGTCCTGCACGGCCCGGGCCTGTTGTCAAACCAGGTAGAGCTCGGGCAGCAGCTCAGATGGGCAGCTGGGGGGCACCTGCCTCGCCAGGCTCACAGGGCAGAGGGGCAGCCGCACCCCATGGGTGAGACCGAACGGCTGGCTGTGCAGAGCTGCAGAAAAGGCCCAGGCCGAGGCTTCTGCCCACCATGCCCCCAGGCTAGGCAGGCCTGCGGGTTACTGGAGGAAGCTGTCCAATTTCGCCTGGCCGCTGCCCGAGGAGGCAGCTGCTGCAGTTCCGGACACGGGCCGGGAGACAATCCTCTTCCTCCTCTTTGCAGCCAGGGGCCGCAGCTCCAGGAGCCTTGTCTGACGGGAGCTGTCAGGGAAACCAGACAAACTGGGGAGAAGCAGGGACCTGGCACCAGCTCGGGGCTAGGCTCACTTTCAGGCTGGGGCCAGCCGGACGTGCCCC